TGTCTCACCTGTGGATCATCACAACAGAGTTTTAGCCCACTTTCAGGTGTTTGATGATAAAGATTCTTGGAACAGTTATATATGTTTGGAGTACTGTAATTAATGACAGTGTGTATTCATGTAACACCTGCAAGACATTTATCTTCAGAAGTGATGTCATGATTAATCATTAGAGCAAGGGAAGAATTCTCTCCTCATTGGGCAGATTGTTTAATCAAGTCCATCTTTCTTGTAGTAAAAGTGGAAAGTTCTGGGTACAGGAAATATTGAATATTGTTCTGCTCATGCTGCTTGGAACAACGGCCTACCAAATGACATAGCACTTAACTCTACATTCATCATCTGAAAATAAGCAATGCCCAGTTTATGTATCTTTCCATTTCATACTTTATCCAAAGCTGTTGGCTTCCTGCTGGCAAATTTTAAAAAGTATAATCAATCAAGGAAAGGCAATATCAATAGCAAAAGAGAGGCAATTAAAAACTCTTTCATCCGGCTTTCTTCCTCTTTATCATGTGCAGAAGCATCTACTATGAATGGCTCAACATGGGGACCACTCCCACCTGCCTGGGATCTGGTCCCAAATAAGCCTGGAAGTGGGGCTAATGTTTAGTTAAGTTTTTAAAACCCTAATCAAACACAGTGGGAGAAGGAAACCAAGTGTCCCTTCCCCTCTCTCCTCCCCAAGACTGAAGGTGCTTCACTCCACTCTTCTGCTGGGTGGAGGGGGCGATCCAGGAAGATTGACATCAGGCAGGAAGATGCTCAAAGAAGGTAAAACTTTTAGGTAGACTTATTATTAACTTCTTCTATCCACCATAGCTGCCGTTCAATTTTTTATTTTTTATTTAATGTGAAAAATCCAATCATGCGTCCCCTGCTGTCCCATCTAGCTTGACCTTCAAGATCAATTCGCACTTTGCAATGGTGTTTGCACTGGCAGAACATGAAAAGTGTGGAGGGGAGGTGCATGTTTGAAAACACATCCTGGCATGCCCCAATTGGCCACAATCCCAGATAATATGACTACTCCTGTTAATCGTCTTGACACTTTGCTTTTCAATGAAATGGAAGGAAAATGGAAGGAAAGTTAGGTGTGTGTGTACGTGTATTTGTGTACACACACACAAACACACACAGATTAGTTGTAATTGTCAATAAAGAAGCATTGGTTGCAGCCATGTGATTTACTGTCAATAAAACATACCAAGAGAAGTATGTGTGTTCCATAGTCTGAACCAAAACAATTACAATTTTTAAAATATAAAAAGTAACTTCAAACTGTACTGAATCCAGACACCCTCACAGATCTCCCTTACTAATTCTAGATCTGTTGAGAGACCTAGGGAAGAGAATGAAGTTATAGACCGGGTAGTAGAATGGACCCACCACTTCAAATTACATGTATACATGGTTCATTACTCCATGAAAATGGTTGTTGTGGAGGAAACTCCCTGAAAACCAGCACAGCTATCAAATAGTTACATAGCAGAGCATTCAGAGATGGTATCCCCTCCCCTATAAATCTGTAGCTAGTGGTACAGCCTGTTGGGCCATCGCAGGACTCTTCCATGTCCTCCCACCTCATTCTACTAAATATATCGATCAGACTGACGTTAGGGAGGAAGCATGTTCCACACTTCCCAAATAACCTGATTATTACTCCTCGTTTCCCAGTGCCGAGTCATTAGATTGGAAGCATGGCTGAGGTCCAATTAAAGCCTATCTCGTGTTTTGCAGAAAATATTGCTTAACGAGGACTGTGGGGCTATCCCAAGGTTCATTCAAATTCAGCACATTTGAAGGCTTCCGCCCGATGTCCCCAAAGAGATGCACCGACAAGCAAATGTACTGAAATCCCATCAGTTATTCTGCACATATTGAGTGCATGTAAAGTGCAGCTTGTGATGGCACATGGCCCCAAAGATAACAAGCGCAGACAGATGGCTCACCAGAAGAACTGGGACAACATCATCTTTGGGGCACAGATGCTTGCTAGATCACAGTCGTGCTATTATCTCTGGCTTCAAGCCTACGTGTGGACGTGCATGCAAAGCAACTGTTTACACAGAACTTCCTTTCTCTTTGCATACAATGCTGTGTAAACAGCCACTGCCAAAGCAAAGGAGGAAGAGGTATGGCCAGTGGTAGAGCATCTGCTTTGTATGAAGAAGGTCCCAAATCCAATCCCTAGCATCTCCAGGTAAGGCCGGGAGAGACTCCCAGACTGAAACCCTGGAGGACCGCTGTCAGTCATTGCAAACAATACTGAGCTAGCTAGACTAAGGGTGAGGTTCAGTATAAGGCAGCTCCCTATGTTCCTAAAGCACTGGCCTCTTCTTTAGAAAGAGAGACTGCTGGGTTGTACAGTGATATTCACAAGGACAGAGGCTAGAAGGGTGCTAGCAAGGACTCAAAAAAGCACAGGCTCATTATTTTATTCATTTTTAAATAATAATAAAAAATAGAAGGAAACTTGCAGGTTGAAAACAAGCAAAAATTAAGCACAAATGTAAACCAACAGAATACCTCAATTAAATCAGAAACCGAGCACCATTGTGTCCTCCAGAGATGGTGGACCACAACTCCCATCATCCCTAAGCACAGCCCGCATTGGCAGGGGCTGATGGGAGTTGTAGTTCAAAACATCTGGAGGACATTTCATTGGCAACCTCTGCAAGAGAGGAGCATGAAACAGCTGGGTCAATTGAAGAAGGCATTGCTGCAGCTCAGAAGAATAAAAAGGAAGGGCAGTGTCAAAGTTTTGCTAGGAATTTCTTATGGCACTTGAGGGAGAATTGGTTGTGGCTTCCTGAAATTTGTAGGATGGCAAAGAAGAAGGCTATCCAGAGGGGTCAAAGTTCATGTGGCGGATGGCAGGTGGCTATTCTCTGTTTTGAAATTTCACTCCAGTATATTTAAAGGATTAAATAAATAGGCCATGTCCATTCTTGTTATTTATATGCTTTGTTGCATGGGTAGCCAAGGTGGTGCCCTAACAAGATGGTGTGAGGATGCCATGGATGAGAACTCCCACCATCCCTAAGCACTGGCAATGCTAGCTGGTTGCATTGGGAGCTGGAATCCCAACAATATCTGCAGGGCGACACATTTGCTACCCTGCTTTCTTGGACTTCGCTGTTGCAGAAGCAGCGAGTTCCTTCAGAAAAGAGGCTAAGTTCCCTCCAGCTCCTATTATAATTCATATACTTGAAAGGATCCTGTAAGTTCCTTTGAGAAAGCCTTTTTTTAAGGCTAGATTGAAGCTCGTTGCTAAAATGGAAGTGCAATTAGAGTAATGGCAGAGAAAGGTAGCTTTGTCAGCTAACTCTCATTAGCACTACATAGACATCTGTAATGGCTTCTGATTTTGAAAATCCCCCTCTCACTGGGTATTGTACATTGTGATTCTTTTTCACCTCTTTCATGATAGGGCCTTAAGTTATCAGAGACTTATTTTTGTGTTGGCTGTTGTCATAGTGGGGTGAGGAGGGGGATAACTTACAAACCTATTTTTAGCATCGTGATGGAAAGAGTATCGAGAGAGAGAGAGATGAAAAGGATGAAATGTTCCAAGATATTTGTCAGGTTGTGAGTCTTGTTTTAAGTTCAGATGCTGTTTTCCCTTTGCTAGCTTGGCTTGGTGGCAATTATCAGTGCTGGCACCAGGTTTGGATATAGAGCTTGGCCTCCTAGAGGGTCCCCTCACTGCTACCACCCATTTGATCACCCTCTTTAGGTTTGGGGAATCTTTTCCGGGCTATGGCCTGTGTTCCCTTCTGCGCAACCTTCCACAGGACACATGGCAGTGCTGGGTGGGGAAAGAGACCAAAGTGGGTGGACCAATTCATTTTTTAAAAAGAAACTTTGTACAGTAGGTTAGTTTCTGCACACACATCATGGGCACCCATCTCTCTTCTCCATCCAAAGGCATCCTCAGTGTTCAAGGGCCCATCCCAGCCAGGCAAAGACAAGCAGGGATAGTGAGTAGGTGTGGCCCAGTTCTGAGGGCCAGGTAGAGAATTCTGGAGGGCCGCATCTAAGGGTTCCCAGCCCTGCTTTATGCCCAGGTGGAGAAGACAAGATGAATGCAAGCAGTAGTGGCTTTTTCCTGTCACTTCTTACTTTCTTAGAAGGGAGAGATGAACAGACAGAGACAACAAGTGTGACGTGCAGGGACAATGTTATTGCCTTTGGAGCCTTTGCTGGAGTGAGGGCTTTAGCAGGTGCCCAAGGAAGCTAAGCCATGATACTGTGGCTGTGCTGGGCACCTGGAAAGGTATATTCCACTAGAGAAGAACTGTTACACTGTAGATACAGTTCACTGAATGCACTTATGTGTATAATTGTAAATTGTTGTTGTTATATTCAAATGCTCATTCATAGATGTTTTCCAGGGTAGCTATGGAAAATTCTATAGGAGTGCTTCAGGCATAAATAATTTGCTTGATTTCTTTGGGCAAATGTCTTTTAGGATAGATCCAGGACAATGAACTTGGCATGACAAAATTGGGTGGAAAAGTACCTTGGACACAGGATATCTGCCCCAGTTCTTAACATTATTGGATGTGGCATTCTTCTTCAGCCAGAACTCACTAGCACCTCTCAAGTGGGCACCTTTGCCATTATAAGAGAACAAAGGAGGTGTACATGGTGAGTTCTGGCATCTCTTTTTCTAGAAAAATAGTACTATCCATTATATAGATGAGCTTCATATGTTAAACAGGCACTCCAAACCTACAATCAGTTGTGCCTGGTTCATGCACATTCTTCCCATTTTTATTGAAAGAAAAAAATGTCATCCCTAATATAGCATTTTGTACTCTTTGGACAGGCCACAACTCCCAATGTCTTTGACCATTGGCCAAGCTGGCTGGTGCTGGTAGGAGTTGGAGCTTGATAACCCTAACATCTGGATAGCATCACATGGGCTACCCTTGGTATACACAATACTGGGCTGATGGAACAATGTTCTCAGCATAAGGCGCATGACTATGAGACCCAGTATGGTGTAATGGTTAGAATGCTGGACTGGGACCTGGGAGACTGGGGTTCAAATCCCCATTCATTGGACGGAGCTCAAAACATAACCTACCTCACAGGGATAAAATGGGGAGGGGGGATCATGTACACCACCTTGAGCTTCTTGGATAAAAGGTGGGCTATAAATGTAATAATAAATTAAGAAGCTTATCTCGCTTTCGTTGTGTGAATGAATCAAATTCCTGTTTTCCTCTGCCTCTTCTTTCCCCTCTGCAGAGTCCTCTCTGCCAGCCATGTCTCTGACACAGTGGTATGGAACATGCATTTAAATTCTGAGGTCGTCTGAGAGGCAGAGGGGATAGTTGTGTGCCTGCTTCTCCACCAAACAGGACCTCCACACCATCAGTAATTTATGAACTGGAAGCACAAATGAATGTCTTCAGTCGACAGCATACCAACAGTACAGGAGGTTTTGTCTACAGTCATATTCTTCATTCTCTTAATGTTCCACCATAGAGGTTTAATGTTTACAAAGAATTATACATTCTGGAACAGAGAACATGTATTTTCCTACCTATCCAACCTAAGGAAGTCAAGCTCCTCTTACACACTGCAACATCTTCTCGCTTGCACAGCATCCCATTCTCTGGGTTGCCATGGACACCATGATTGAAGGTCATCAAAAGCAAGTGGGACAAGAGAAGAGAGGCATAAACAATCAACACAATGCAACTTGGGGCATGACTGATATCATAAATACTGTGTCCGCTTTCTACATTTTAATAATGGCAGCAGATTGTTTGTCTCTGGCTGTGCGGTTCCATGAAACATAAATCCAGTCGCTCTCATGGACAGTGTGAATTTAATGGCAAACCCAGTGACTAAAACAAAGGTCCTGCCATCGCTGTTTTTCAGCAGCATCTAGAAATCTAAATGAAAGAAGAGCAAGGTCATTATCATGTAGGCGATGAGAAATGGGATGCTCCAGAGAGCAGAATGACCTCATTATGTGACAGGAGAGTGGGACAAGAGAAGAATTATCTGATGTCTCCATGTATTGATTTTTGATAGATTACATTTGTTGTTGTTATTCTTTCACAACCAGGAAGATACATATTATATATGAACACATGCTTGCTGCCCACACACTACTGGCCTAGGTTCAAGGTCCTTGTATTAATTTACAAGGCTCTTAACAACTTGGGCCCAGGATATATCAGGGAATGCTTTATATCCTTGCTCAGTCCCTGAGGTTTTCAGGGGAGTTGCTGCTAGTGCTCTTCCATGGCTCAAATGCATGGCATGTATCTATATCTACAAAGAGCCATGTGTTCAGTATTGTGGATCCAATTTTATGGTACACCCAGTTGACATATCTCTGCTGAACAATTTTTTGTTGTTGTGGTTTAGTTGTGTCCGACTCTTCGTGACCCCATGAACCAGAGCACGCCAGGCACTTCTGTCCTCCACTGCCTCCCGCAGTTTGGTCAAACTCATGCTGGTGGCTTCGAGAACAGCATCCAACCATCTCGTCCTCTGTCGTCCCCTTCTCCTTGTGCCCTCCATCTTTCCCAACATCAGGGTCTTTTCCAGGGAGGTGGCCAAAGTATTGGAGCCTCAGCTTCAGGATCTGCCCTTCCAGTGAGCACTCAGGGCTGATTTCCTTAAGAATGGATAGGTTTGATCTTCTTGCAGTCCATGGGACTCTCCAGAGTCTCCTCCAGCACCATAATTCAAAAGCATCAATTCTTCGGCGATCAGCTTTGGCACCTTTTAAATAAATTTTTATTTATACAGTATATTCCAGCAAGCTTTTTAATTGAATTCTGATGTTATTGAGTTAACTCATTTTTTTAGTTTAACTGTATTGGGTTTCCTGTACGCCACTTTGAGATATCTCTAATTAAGCGGTATACAAATGGTCAAAATAAAATTAGAAGCTGCCTTATCCTGAGTCAACCCATGAGTCTATATATTCAAGGAATTAGAAACCTGTGGTCATCCAGACTCAAACTCCCATCAGCCCCAGCCAGTGGTCAGGAATAAGGAGAGCTGAAGTCCAGCAACATCTAGTGACAGGAGCAAGCAGGGAGTAAATCACACTGAGCAAGTTGGAGTTAACTCCTTATTTGCAATCCAATTTATGACATCTAGAGGGCCACAAGCTCCCCATTCCTGATCTATTCAGTAATGATCACTGGGGTACAGTGAAGGCACCTACCTAATATCAATAGGCATGGAGTCCTAGAGGCTGTGTGATGCCACACTACAGGAATGAATCCTTGCAAGTGTGGAATGAACACCATGTGGCACGTGTAAAAAGTGCCAGTACCACAAATCAAAGTGGAACATATCAGGTAAGGTGATCTTTCAAGTAAAGGAATTTATATATCTAATAGTAATGCCTTGAATTTGACCCAGCACCAACTTGGCATCCAGCGTAGATCTTTGAGTAAGGATATAATTTGCTGACAGGGGCTCACTCTTGTCAGCCATCAGGCAGCAGCATTCTACAGTAATGGCAGTTACCGTTGCTATGGGGGAGACTGTGACCAGGTGACCTGCTTCATGTTCCTGAAAGATTGTCTCACTCTTTAAATACTCAGTTGAACACTGTGCTCTGCAGGCAAAGGCCTCCTGCAAACACTGTCTTATCACAAGGTCCCTATCACATAATATTGGAATTGGGCCTTTAGTGTTGTGACACTCTTTGGAATGATAATGATAATGATAATGATAATGAAGATAATGATAATGATACATAGCTGCCTTCAGATGCCTTCTAAAAGTCATACCCTTGCTTATCTGTTTGACATCTGATGGGAGAGCATTCCACAGGGCAGACACCACTACCAAGAAGGCCCTCTACCTTCTTCCCTGTATCCTCACTTCCCTTTTGTTAAATGTTAAACAGATGCCTTCTCTGCTGTCTTCTCGGTACCTACTGAGAAATGCCTACCTTCTTCTTCCAGTAAGCCTTTTACGGAGAGATATTCCCCAGTTTATATCTGAAAAGGAATTGCCTTGGTTTCCATTGTTTTACTGCTTTGTGTGTTTGCCACCCTGCTTTTTGTTCTTCTGGAGGAAGGGTGGGATGTGAATTAAAAATAACCCTCAATGCTAATAATAAATACTGTTTGCCCGAATGAGTCTTCATCTTTAAACCAGGCCTGGACTAGAGCAGAGGACTCCTTCAAATAAAGAACTACCCAGCGATGTAGTGTGGGCGCTCATGGGGGCGTGATGTGCCGTGGGAGCAAGCCGCGCTGCTGGAGCAGAACTGTCCTTCTTGGGCACCCTCCAGTTGGAGGGCGGCTGAGGGGGATGCAGCAGGCAGGCGCCAGCCCTGCATGACTTTTGTGTGTGGCTCTGGGCCTGCAGAGCCACCATGTCCCTCCCAGGCACCCTCCAGCTGGAGGGAGGCTGGGAAAGACGTGGTGGCTTGGGTACTCTGTGAGCCCCTGGCACATGCCAGAGGGCAGCTGTGAGCTCAGGCCCACTGCGAGCCCAGCCCCGCACAGCTTTTGTGAGTGCTGCGCTGGGCTGTCGGGGCTCCTGGGCTTGCACACCACCTTGGGCTTTGTGCCCAGCATGCCACCCCCCAAAGGTAAGCACCACCTGGGTTGATCTGCCCCCCTAGCTCCACCACAGGAACTGTCATCACCATAAGTTTACTTTCTTAAATTCCTGCCCTGCTTTCTCAAAAGGTGCAAAACTGCACACAACCTGCTTTACTCTGGATATATTTTCTCTGGACAAAACGCAGGGACAATTCTTTAACCTGTGGAGAAAAGAGACAGAGATCCTTTAAATACTTAGAACTGGTTATTATTATTACTGGGGTTGGGGTGAGGTGGGTTTTTTTTTGTTTTTTGGTGTGTAATTTGCCTTGCAGAGCATCTGCTGGGGGAAAAAGGCTTTCGGCGGATAGAGCTGCTTTAAATAAGGTTTCATAATGACACATGATAATAAAATTACTCTTGTCAATGACTTTCCTTGTGCATCTATATTACTTGCTCTGCGAGTGACAGGGAGAGCGAGTGAGCCTATAATATGATAATTAAGATGTCAGGTAAAATGTGGTACAATCAGACCAAAGTACTAGCTAATGTGTCTTCTATGCCATCAAGGTTTTGAAGCAGGTGAGTTCACATCAAACTCTGACCTGACCTTGTGGCAAGGAATCTGAATTAGGGGAAGTAACAGATACAAACTTCATCTTCTTCCATGCAACAAATTTGGAGGTACAGCAATGGGGAAAGTTTCTCTTGTTAATGATGCAAGAGCCCTTTCCCCACCCTCCAAAACCTCTAAGTGGCCACTAGGGATGGGGAAGAAATTTGATTCAGTTCACATTTAAAGCCAAATCCATCAAATTCACCCTTTCCCCAACAATGTGAGAACACAGCCAACCTTTAAAATTTACACGTATGCAAATTTTGCAAGCTGTTGTCCAATGAAACAATGTTTACGAAAAAATCATATATCAGGGGAAAGCGTGTGTAGAAATACCTATATTAGTGAAAACAACCATGCAAAAATTCATTACGTTAGAGGAAATGGCGTTGCAAAAATGTGTATATTAGTCAAAACTGCATACAAAAAAAAATGTGTTTATTGGGAGAAATTCACACTAAAATGAGGAATTTAAGATTGTAAAAATGAGAAATGGAGAGAACCAAAATGCACAGTTTCTCCTATCCATAGTGCAGAAAACCAGCAGAAGAAATTGCAGCAGGCTAAGACCCAAGTGTCCACCTTCCAGCTGACCTTCAGGTCAGCTGAATCCATCTGCTGCGGTGGCACAATTGGTGTGCTCAGTCTCTCTCCTCTTCCATCCCCTGCCATGGTATGGAGGCAGCGCCTGATCTTGCACAATAGGTGAAAAATGCAGAAAGGTGGCGCAAGAGCATCAGATATGTTGTTTGTCATGATGGCTGCTCTGCACTCCAGGATTAGGATGACATTTTTACCGGCAGACACTGTTCTCTTCTGTTCCTGCTTAGTCTGCTGTGCCCTGAACACCCCCTTTGACTGAAATGTTGAAAAATAAAAAATAAAAATGTTCTCTTACACTGTGAAGCCGAGCACCTT